GCCCTTGAGGATCGTTGAGGCTGCGTACTTTAAGGCTGAAGACCCTGAATTGGGATACAGGCTAGGTCACTGACAATGCAAGGACACATATACCCTCAAAAAAAAAAAATTAAAAAAGGAAAACTGAACAATTTGTATACAAATAAAGAACAGGTTTTATTTTTTTTCCCCTCAATTTAAAGCAGTTGTTTCATTCTGACGAGTCAACGATTTTTGGTAAAATGTGAAAAAGTGAGCAAACAAAAAGAAACAATAAGCAAATTATATAAACTATTATAATTTATTACTCTGATCAAAATTCATGAACTCTTTTGGCCAAAGACTGTATAACAAACTGTAAACATACAACTGACCTTGCTCAATTAAAAGCTACCATTCAATATCAGCTTTTCAGCCAAGTCCAGACACCATCCGGTGTGCATGATTTTGGTAGATTGTTCCAGCTCCGATCACTTACTCTGCTCTGTAATTTCACCATGAACCTTAAATTTGTACAATTCTTCTCTTACAAACTGACACAAATCCATTCAGCTACCAAACAGTTGTTAGCCTAAACGTCCCGTTTCCGACATCAAAGGCAACATTAAATCAAACTGAAGGATAAACAGTGGAGGAGTTTCAGCGTCCGCTATAGAGGCAGAAGTGCAAGAGGACATAATGAGACTTCCACAGATGGAGCTTAAAATAGCTAACAGGCTGAAAAATGATCCTTAATGGGATGTCAGCCAGATTAACTCAGATAAGGTGTTTGATTTTTATCATCCAGTACCATCATTTTCAGCTACCAGATACATAGCTATGTTTATTTGTATGTGGCTGTCTGGGCAGGGTACACCTAACATTTATTCTCGTTATAGATGTGGTTTGGTCTCAGGTTCATTAGCTAAATGTTCGGGTGATCGTGGCTCAAGAGTTGGGTGTTCGGCTTGTAATCGGAAGGTTGCCGGTTCGAGCCTCGGCTCGGACAGTCTCGGTCGTTGCGTCCTTGGGCAAGACACTTCACCTACCGCCTACTGGTG